GAGAGAGAGAGAGAGAGAGAGAGAGAGAGAGAGAGAGAGAATAAATAAGTGTATTATTAGTGACAGTCAACCTGTGGGGTGTAGTGATTATGGAACAAGATGCCACGGTATCCAACTGCAACCCAGTCGCCAGAACGTTTTTTGACATTGTATGTTTCTGTAAACCACGGTGAATGTTGACGTTTCTGAACCGTAGATGTGTTCCATAAAAAAGTTTCATAGAAATGCACACGTGGTTAACGTTTGTTAACAGAACTACTAAGGTTAGAAAAAACCTTAAGACGCAAACCGCGGTCACTTACTCTGACCAAATGCAAAAACGTTGATGTTCAACAAAACTGAGCTTCGCAGAAATGTACAATGCCAGCAATTTTTTCCTGGCAACTGGGTTGCCAACTGAACTCACATGCAATGTAATCCATGTTTTGCATAAGGGTGTATCTATATGCTTTCACTGTAAAACAACAGTTTCTGCCTGAATTGTCTTCTGTACATGATGGATCATTGTTTTATTTTTCAATACAACAAATAAAAATGTATTATTTATGACTATGGCCTACAGTCAATGCTGTTTAGATGCTTGATTATGACTTTTACTGAAATGTGCAACATCCAAAATTTGGAGCATTTCTATTGCCTCTCAACGGCTCTCAACATGGCCGGCATCTCACAGCTAACGGTGCTAACAGCGCTAACAGTACCAACTACAGCAAAAGCACTGAATGAGCGAACAGTTTTTACCTGAGGTAATGGAGGGTGGATACTACGCTGTCAAACGGGACGGCATTATCAGCTGAATGAATTAAAGAGGAGCAAAGAGTACCTCAAAAATGTACTTAAATGCCAGGCAGTACTTGAGTTTATGTACTTACTTAGAGCTTAAGAGATTAGTTGATTGTTTGATTGACAGAAAAGGAATTTATCGAAGATAATTGCCATATTAAACTTGAAACAACTGTTTTTATACCCACTTGGGGGCAGTAGAAATAAGTTGTGAATAATACATTGACATATCATCATCTTAGCGAACCAGTGGCTCATTTACAAAGCCAGTAGTTTCTAAACCACATTAGCATTCATATGGAGTCATGTTTCTGGCATAGACTATAAGAATTCAACATAGTCAGACGGTGTCACCCATTGTTTGTAGACTGCCGTTTTGAAGCCTTGAGTTCGGCATTTTTGGCCGGTGCCATCTTGTTTTTTTGCCGCATGGTTTCTGTCCAAGTCCGAGATTCACTCTTTTATCTCTATTTTTGGTCTCCACCAACTGAACAGGTGAGGGGAACCCCAGTCAGACCTGAATCGATTTACTGCTGGAGACAAATACTGGTGATTTGTCACAGAGTATAAAGATTCTTCATTTTGGAATTCACTTTTTTCCTGGTCATTCTTTGTTAGCTTCCCGGGGTGTGCCTGTGGTTTTCGGTTTCTATTTGTCTTGAGTCTCATTTTTGAGACCAACTTTGTACTGCTCCAGTCCCTCGTCCAGTCAGTGAGGAGCAGCCCTACAGAGCGATGGCAAGAAGGGTTCTCTGCCAAATGTGTATTTGGCTGGTATCTGTAATGAACACCTACCAATCCATGACGGCTTACAAGAACACGGTGCCTGTATTGACTTCACTCACATGCTGCCGTGAGCTGTATTCGAAGCAAAATGATGAATGTTTGCCGTGTTTGCAGAGGTCTTCTTCTTTAACTTCCAGATTTGCCAGAAATGGGCATCATCGCTTGCATCACATTCCTCTGCAGGGAGGATGATTAAGCCAATGACAGGCTGAGAGGATACAAGCACCCCCTATGGAGGCAGACCTCTCAGAGTGTCCTGCTGTTTCTCCTCATCCTGCTCATCTGCTCTCACCCTTGAAGGCTATTTGTGACGAGAAATAAGATCAGAGTCATTCTATTATATCCCCAATACACCTCCATCAACTGATAACGAAGAGAACAAAAAGAACATGAAACTAGCTCTCTGGGTGTAGAATTTGCAACCGCATTATTCCAACTCAACAGGCCCAATAGTTGTGTTTAAATGTTGTTTATTCACTGAAACATAATATTCTATGGATCATCTTTTTAGCATTACTTGTGAGTGAAAACTGAGGTGGTTATGGTGTCAGGGAGTTTAGCTGATGAGCTATTCTGAGTGGCACAAATGACTTGTTCTTTGTGAGCACAGCACTCCTTAGAAACTAAATAGATTTCGATGGTTCATCTTTGCAGAATCTTAACGAGCCAAGCATGCTCCCACCTAGTATCATCCAGACCCTCGATCCAGTCACTCGATATGCCCATAACTATCACTGTGGCAGTACTTAACACGATTGAGCAACTTACTGAGGGATACACCACACGTACTGCACACTGGAAAAAATACTTCATTATAAATTCGATCTTTATAGAACTCTGTCCACATCAGTCTTTAAAATTGCAACAGAACTCGACTCTATCTGGTCATCTCTCATACATTTCTTACAAACCTGATTCCATCCACCTTATTATTTTTCTCGCCTTGCACACATTCACATCTGCACCTGTATCCAATTCTACGCCTCCATTGAAATCCACATAGATGCACATAAATACATGCACACATGTGTGTACCTGCATATACAAATATACTATGGGCATTGATATTGATGTTATTATAACATTGCAATTCGACAAATACACATGCAAATGCATCTAGAACACATTGCTATTATTGATTATGTTCAAGAATGTTTCATTAATATATTTTCTTATTTTCATTATTTTTTTGTGGTTATAACTGTAGTTATTTCTGATAACAATATTATTGATATTTTTATATTTTATTATTATAGTTGTAAAATAACAACTAAAAATATAAAATAAATACGTAAATAATATGTAGACAAAACAATATCAAAAACATGATATTAACGGTGCAACTAACTTGTTTTCTTCTCCTGTATACACTGTTGTTGTCATCCTCGTGTTCTGTTAATGTTGTGTCTTAAAGCAGATTTTCAACACATGACGGTGTAACAGTGTGGGCTGACTGGGTGGTTGTGTTTGTGCCAATGGCTGTGTGTGCAGTGGATTGATTGAAGGTAGGTATGTCTGAATGTGCCTCCACTCTGGTCTACGTATGTATGCTGACACAGCTCTTTCCATCTGGCGCTCTTACTTTCACCCCGACCTCCTTTCAACTTTATAAAATAGATTCCGTGATCAGTGATGAGCACGAACAAAACTCTCTTCGACTGACAGTGCCAATTTTTGAGTCTTAAGTACTGTCTTGCTGTAAAAAGTAATGTGACTACAATTATGTTCCATTTTGTCGAGGTCACTCTGTGTTTTTTTTTCTTGTGTACCCCCTCCCCTACCCTGTGTACCCCTGTCTGTCTGTCTGTCTGTCTGGCCCGGTGCTGCTGTGGCTACCGCTGATTACCCACACCTGCTTTCCATTAGGCTCATCATGCTGCAGTACATCAAGCCTAGACTTTCATCCACTCATCAGCAGATTCTTTTCACGCTGCTCCTCTGCGGTTCTAGTTATTTGTGCATTATCTCCTCTCATGTTTGTTGCTCCACGGATCACCGTCGACAGCCTGCCGCTTCATCTCATCACCTTGCGTTCCAAGTGAACGTTTCCTTTCCTTCCTCTTCTTCAACGTCTCATTCCCTCCGCCCTTATAACAAATCCAATTTTATTATCATCCAGGCGACTACAGAGTCCTTGTCACTCTGTGAACACAACAACACAGCGTGCAACAGGCTAATGTTGTGATTCTGACACCTCCGAGTCATCCATGTGTTTTTGTAAGGCGAATGAGGGCCTTTTGATAAAGCATGGGTGATACAGCCCGGCCTCTCATATGCACTCTCTAAATTGCAACTTTTCTCCTCGACCGCTGCCAAATTACACATCAAACAGAGATCATACAATACAGAAGGATTTTCAGTCACCTCATGAGTCAAATCCGACAAAACATCTCACGTTGTTGTTTTTCATTTGAACAAACAGTTTTTCTGGATATTCACAATTCAATTTATGAGTGACAATGAAAATATTTAACTGAGGTGAATATCAAGAGAGTGAAATCCCAATGCAGACGAAAAAACAAGAGTGATCAATCATCAAATATTTATATCGCAGTATACATATTTATTTATCAAGCTGTTAATGCTCACAACAAATACGCAACTAATTGTTTTCGGCAACGATTAAGCAAAGCTGCTCATATTTCGACATGAGGCTTTATTTTTTTCTTCTTCTTTTGCTTCATAACGGACAAGAGCAATAGTTTCACCAGAGTTTTGTCATGTGCAAGGTGTGTTTTAATTAGCAGGTGGGGGTCATCTCTAAAACTGACAGACACTGTTCGGTTTATTTGTCATTTAAAAACTTCAATCAGTTCTGTGTGCGATCCATTCAGAGCTTCCTGTGCCCTCTTATAAATACTATACAAAAATAGCCTACTCTTATAACAACTTCACAAGTCTAATTGCTGACATCAAGTCAGTTTTGACCAGATGTATGTCACAGGCCCAAAAAATGTTGGGAGCCCTGAGTTTTATATATTCAGAGACTAATACATTTTATATACCCCTTCCCAAACATTTCACCATCACCATCAGTCATAGTGAAAGATGCCCTGACTTAATTTCAGTACGGCAACATTAACAACACCTTAATTGCAAAAATGCCACTCATTTACAGATTTGCCATGTCGGCTCATCCAGACCACACAGCTCTTCATTCATATTCCTGTTTTGAATTTCAGACTGAATCGATACAATAAAATACTTGACAAATAAATATTTTACTTATTATAGACTCTAGAAAAGTCAAATTTGAATCTAGAGGTTCGTCGCACAACTTTTGAATGTTTCCAAATAGAAACCACTTTAATGTGTCTTCCTCTTTGGGTTTGTCAAGATAGCACTCTTTCTTTTTTTATATACATGCTTAACTGTGTTGAGTCGTCTTCACCAGCAGTGTTCCAATGGGACCATTTTGTGCGGAATTGCTGCCGGAAATTGACAAAACCCCAGCTAATGTGTGAGTTGGATGGGTTTTGTCCATTATTTTGATCACCAGTTTGCAAACTCCTGGTGTGACTAATTTGCCAAACAGTGGTACTAGTTTTAAAAGGAACAGTTAATCCCAAAATCAAAAATACACATTTCTCCTCTTGGGTGTATAGTGTTATTTATCAATCTAGAAAATCCTAAATGAAACTGCTCACAACAAGGTCTGTGGATTATCTTGACTCAATAGTCATGATTTCTAAAGAATAATTGCTGTTGAGTTTTTCAAATGTGTTTATTTGGCATGTTGAGCTCCAAAAGCAGAGTGCCATATAATTATATTGGAGAGAAGGCAGACATCTCTATTTCCACCACTACGCAACTCACACCAAAACAATCTATCCTAATAAATAACACTACAGGTAAGAAAAAAATGTGTATTTTTGATTTTGGCGTGAACTGTCCCCTTTAAGATATAATGAACAGACAAACAAGAAAACAGGTAGATACACAGAGTAACAAAACAAAAGACTTCAATTCCTTATTTTGCACACCTGCAGGCCTCTCATCTTTCATGCTTAGTTAATGTGAAGTCTTTTTTCACTGTTTGAACAACACACAAATCAGGACTTCACTCAAACATCTAATCTTCCCTGATTGGAAGCCACGTCCTCCACGTTACAGCACTGTTACCATAGCGAGGAGTCATAAAAGTATCTGGTTTCAAAGAAACACTTCCATTACTTGCTGCTTTCAGCAGAGCTTTTTCAGTATATTACACCATATGATCCAAGGCATTATGTCCAGTCTCGTTCTCCATTTGGGTTTTCAGAAGCTCGATATTACATCAAAGGATAAATAAAAAAAATCACAGGACACAAGAACAAAAAATAATACATCATCAAAACCTCAATAAGATGTCTGCCAGTCTTTAAGCACAAACTCTTTCCAGTATTTGGTCATATACAGATGTCATATCCACCTGCAAGCCACTGCTTGTCAAACTGCATGGATGCACACGGTAGAAATATGAATCGCTTAAGATATACTTGACTACGTGTGTTGATGGGAGTGTTTACAATGTAGTGTTTAGTCCACCTATTAGGATGTCAGGCAGGACCCGCTGGTATTTAGGTGTAGTTATTTCTACAACATTTTGCCCAGACGATGATACAGTCTGGAAGAAAATGCCCCCTGTTGATGTGGTTAAAGGACAAGGCCGCTTGTCATGACCGCTCAGGTTGCAAATGTCTCTTGTTTGACATAAATGTGTGATCACCCAAGCTGCAAGAATCTGCTGTCACACGAGCAGTGAAAAGAATCATGTGGCGATCATGGATTGACTCTGTGAACGATTCTCCTCTCTGTTGTTGTCTGCTGGCTGCTTGGTGTAAACAAACATAGCTGCGCAACATATCCTGCTTTGCATTCAGTCTGAACACCTCTAGTATGGAGAAACTAACCCTCTGACAGTTAGAGTCTAACTGGTCTCAAACGCAGCCCAGTGGCGCAATTGTTGATACATATATGTTTGGCGACATTTTCAAAAAGAAGAAGACAGGATTGTCAGACATGTGATTATGTTCAACTGAGCAAAAAGGTTCTATTGAGAGTTTTTATATTCGTGCAAAAATTTACAGTATGTTTTGAATTGACGGATTCAGCAAATAGGCCAATTTGACTTCACTGTGAGCTTCCCATTTTTGAAAATGTGTGTTTTATTTCTTTTGCAGGTGTAAATGAGTAAACTGAACACTGTTCAAGCCCTGTAGCAGACCGGTATGTAAATCAGCGATGCTGTGCTTTGCATGATTATGAATGCTGGGAAACAACGTTTCAATCCAGGTCTAAACTGAAGTAAAATGGTTGATTAGAGCTGATGCGCCGACTGTTCCGAAGCAGCATGTGCTCTTGTGCTAATGTCCCATTTGCAGTGCTTTATCAGATCTACAGTGACACATCGTGAAGTTTGTTGTGATTCCTATTCACTGTGGGGCCATGTTGGATGGCATCATCTCCCCAGACTCTGGCTCCTGCCGAGCACCTTCAGGTACCATTCTCACACTCACGCTGCCCCCATCCGTGGTGCTCGGATTCACGCGGAACTTTCTATTGACCGGGCGCACAGCCCTGAGAAACAGCCTCTTGAAGGTCTCACTGAGGACGATGTAGAGGAACGGGTTGATGCAGCTGTTGGCGTATCCCATGCTGATGGCTATGTTGTAGGCGTAGGAGAAAGCTAGGCTTGGCTTCTGCACCCCGAGGTGGACCAGCTGAAGGATGTAGTAAGGGGCCCAGCAGATGAAGAAGGCCAGGCAGATGGCCACTGCCATCCGGGTCACCTTCCTGGTGCGCATCCTCAAACTGCGCGGCGGCAGCGGCGCCACGCTGGTGGACATGTGTTGGAGGATCTTGAAGAACACCAGGCAGATGACGACCAAAGGTATGGCGAACGCCAAGAAGAACTGGTAGAGCGTGAACCAGTATATGTCAGTGACCGGGTCGGGCAGAAGGAGAGCGCAGGCCACCAGGCCATCTGGCACAGGCATCAGGCCTGCGTACATCCACACGGGGATGATGGTGAGCAACGACAGGCCCCACACCAGGCCGATGACCAGCGCTGCCACACAGGGCGTGCGGATGTAGTTGAAGCGGATCGGATGGACCGTAGCCAGGTAACGGTCGAGGGTCATTGCAGTGAGGATGTAAGTGCTGACAATCTGGCTGTTGGAGTCGAGCGCCGTGATGACCGTGCACATGGCAGCTCCGAAGTGCCAGGTGCCGTTGCCCAGCAGCTGGTGGATGAGGAACGGCATCCCGAGGAGGAACAGGAGATCGACGATGGACAGATTCAAGATAAAGATGTCCGGAACGGTTTGCTTGGCGCGGCCCTTGGTCTTCTTCGTGATGGTGTAGATGACGATGCAGTTCCCCATGATACCCAGGAAGCAGATGATGCCGAAGATGACGGGGAGGATGGCACTGCAGTGAAGGGCCCCGTCTGCAGCTGGAGACAAGAAAAGGGACGGAGCGGCAGTTGAATGTCAAGCAAATGCATGTAGTGATGTCATACTGCGTTGTGCATCGTGTTAAATCACATTGTATGATATGAAAGCTTTTAATGTACTATCATGTCACAATGTTACATGATACAAAGAGCAAGAGCAGCAGAGTAATATATCAACAATTCTGGTTTGTCAGGGGATTATTAGGGTTTATCCATCATTGGATACCACAATTGAACACTTGCACATTTTCACCATCTTAATTTTAGGCTGCTCTATAATTTCAGGGTGGACATGATTGATTTCTGTTAAATGAGTGTGTGTGTGGGGGGGGGGGGCTCTTTCAGCACAGTGCAATGACGATGAGGGCAGAAGTCTATTGTGTTTGTGATACTCTATAGCACACGTGTCAAACTCAAGGCCCGCGGGCCGAATCCGGCCCGCCACGTCATTTTATGTGGCCCGCGAATCCACCAGCAATTTTGGAAAAAAAAATTGAAGTTAGACTAAAAATATCCCCACGGTCGAAATTATGAGATAGAAAGTTGAAATTATGAGAATAATTTAAGATGGGAAAGCGAATACATGTTTGTGCTTCAAGGAGAAAAACGGGTCTGTCTTCTGTGTTATGATGCGTGTCGGTGATGAAGGATACAATTCACGTTGGCATTTTGACACCAAACATGGAGCTAAATTTAGCCTCCAAGAAAAACATCAAATTGTCCAAGAATTAAAAGGCAGACTGCAATCACAGCAGAATATATTTACAAAAGCTACAGCCCAGTGCATGCTAAAGATATGTGAGCAGGTGAGCTCCGACCAGATACAGACTTTTACAAATGTCAGTTTGTGAAGAAACACCATCGCAGACCGAGTTCAGGAACTAGCAGCAATCTAACAACACAGCTAGCTAAGAGACGAGATACATCATCTATCAGTGTTTGTAAGAGGCTGAAGGCGGACCTGACTCTCAGTGAGGAGCTCTTGGATGTAGCTGCCATGCACGGGACGACGGCAGGGAGGGACATTAGTGATGCAGAGAGGTGACAAAAATAGCTTTGAACAAAGTTAATGTAATTGTTTAATTGTTTGATGATATTTGTCTTTGATATTTTCTTTAATAGTTTGATCTTTGATAGAGTAATGTGGGTTTCTTAACCCTAAATTAAAATGATTTATGTTATAATAACAGAAATGTGCTTAAATATCATTTTACATTTATATAACTGCATGTACAATATTTTTACACTTGAATAAACAATAATCAAAAGCAGAGACAGTTATTTAACAATATGTTAGGAGTAGCTACAGTCATACAGTCTTACAGTTACAACCGGCCCTTTGAGGGAAACCATGATGCTGATGTGGCCCGGAGTGAAGATGAGTTTGACACCCCTGCTCTATAGGATGTTAGGAGAATAGACCTTAAAATAGGTTGCTATAGATATGCAATAATTACGCTTTAAACAGGAAACGAAAGTCACAGAAATGTGTAAAAGAAATCTTACCAGACACAGTCATGATTATTTGAACACTAAAATGAGGTGCATTCATCAATTAAGTACAAATCCTAGAGCGTAGAGATTCAATTTGGGGGAAGTTGGGGAAGGGAATTCACTGCAGCCTGAATTTGTGCAATAGACAGGCTTGTTTGAAAAAAAAAAGAAAAAAGGATACAAGGTAAATCATTTTTTTGGGGGGGGGATAAAACAGAAACAAAACACACTTGATTTTTGTTCAGTTGCATGTTGAATGCAGTTATGGCGCTTATGAACAAGGCGTGTGTAGGTTATAACGTTAACTGGACGATGCGTTGGTTGCTCAACCTACCTGTTGTTGTCGAATTGAAGTATCCGAGGGAAAAATTAGAATCGTTTGAGAAATCCATCGGTAATCCAAAGTGTATCCAAGTTTAAAAAAAAAAAAAAAAAAAGTATCACCAAGTGCGTGCAATAAAATTCATCTGCGGCAGCTTGTGAACGAAATCCCCCATCTCTATTCTCAAAGAGTGAGTCCAAATATCATATTTTGAATAGTTAAATAATTTACAATTTATTTTCCCTTGTCATCCTGCGAGCAGACCAGCGCGCTCTGTACAGTCAGTGGTAATAAAGCCGCTCCTCGGTGAGCGGTTGAAGAGGCTGCGAGAGCATCTTCACTCAGTCTGTGACGCTCTCAACGGAGTTGCGACTTGCGATGCAGGTGTCAGTCAATTCGGCATGAAATCATGATTGGAAAATGGATCTCATATTATCCCAGAAGGTCTCAAAGTGTGTGAGTGTTTGTGTGTGTAGGTGTGTGTGTGTGTGTGTGTGTGTGTGTGTGTGTGTGTGTGTGTGTG